GCCCTGCATTATTCTCTCTCATGGATGAGATGATAAACTTGGCCCTGTGATCAGGCACTGGTGTGGTCAATCTGCTCCTGGGTGCTGGGCTTCCTTCTTTATACAGGAAATATATTTGGGTTTCCATGGTTCCCTCACACCAGATTGTCACAGAATACCCTGAGGTGATCACAGAGCCTGGCTCAGCCCACATTCTGGGTTTCAGGAGGGTTCCTGAAAACAAGTAGGTAGGAGGAATATGGGATTTTACCAGTTGAATGGAAAATATGAAACTTGCAGTTCACACTTGTATAACAGAGGGGCATGGGGCATCATGTGAACATCCATCTCTCTGCTGACCCTGCCAGGTTCCCTTCTCAGAACACCCCTCAGTGCTTTCTGTATACTGACTCCATTAATCTGCATGTTGTATATGTGGACTCAAAACATGTCCTTCCCTGTGTTCATCACACATTAGGGGCTCCTTTGGACATCTGTTTCAGGTTCAGTGTCTTTCAATAGAGAAGATGAGACTTTCTCACCTGAGACTAGGAGCTCCAGGATGTCACTGCCTTCTGACCACACTTGAGGCTTCCTTGAGTAATAGCCAAAGCATCTGGAACTCTATTTTTCACTGAGTGTGATGGGACCCACTTAGAAGTTGGCTGGAGACAACCCATCATACACATATTGTGAGTCCATGGAGCTGGAGAACTGCTCATCCTTAATTAAAATGAATCCATTATATCTCTGATTCGAGGTACATGAGAGGGTCACAGATCCTCCTACGGCAACAACAGGGTTTGGCAGTACAGACAGGGTGGGTTTGTAGTAGACACCTAGAAGAGATACATATAGACTATTAAATGAGTTCACACAGTCTGGATTGTCCCCTAGACATGAGCAATGAGAAGACTTATCTAGAGAGTCACATCCGGAGATTCATATGATTCCTGAGTATCCACTCACCTGTCACCACCAGCTTCAGGGGGTCACTGTGTTCTGATGTGCCATCAGGGCTTTTATAATAACACCGATACTGGCCTGCATCATGAGTTTTAATGGATGAGATAAAGATCTTGTCCTTTTTTTCAGTGTCTTCATGAGCTGTTGGTACCTGGGAATCTGGGTTACCTTCTTTATAGAAATGGTATTCCTGGGCATCTAAAGGGCCTTCACAAAGTAGAGTTACCTCCTTCCCAATGGTTACCACATTACTTGGCACAGCTCTGAGTGTGGGTTTTGAGAGGCCCCCTGAAAACAAAACAAAGAAAAACACAAAAACAAAACAAAGCAATGCAAACAAACATCAGTAGCAACAAAAAATGGGAGCTGGGTCAGAGGACATCCTGCTTAATTTCAAGCTCCCAATCTCAGGAACTTGCAGGCAACACCAGCATCAGCCCACACCAGCTCTTCTCTATCTCTTTTCTTCAGAGTTGACCATTGATTCCCACTGAGTGTGCATACCCTAGACAAGCTGGGAAGACACTCACCTGCCAGCACTGGGTTCCTGTGGCCCAGAATCAGTCCTGCAAGAGAGTTACCTGTGAGTGTATGTCCTTGAAGCCTGAGCAGGACTACCACTTCCAGATGCCTTCTGAGGTACTGAGAGACCCTGATGAATTACTGCTCAACTGAGAGGTAGACTACTTCTTAGAACAGAATTCTCTCTCCACAACTTCATTTCTCACCAAGACAAAGCAGAACTATGAGGGTGGGGATCATAGCATCTCCCAGTTGCCAAAAGTTTGCAGATGGTTTGTCCTCTTGCAAAAAAAAAAGACACAAAGTATATTGCCTGTGCAGTATGGTCCCTTCTTGTCGAGAGTATGTTATACAGACAGTCCTTTCAAAAACAGGAACTGCTCTTTTTAGGCAAGTGGCTTTTGCTTTCCCACTGCTGTGAAGGGTGGGGCTGCAAAACATGTGGTCTCTGTTCCTGTGGGTTTCTTTGGTTTTGGTTTTGGTTTTTGTTTCTGACGGGAGCCTCCTGAAATTGGGAAGGTCTAAATCTCCTCCCCTTTCTCAGTCTGCTTCTTGTGTGCTAAGTTTACAAACCCATATCTGATTATGGTCTCTTCTTTCAGAGTATCTCCCATATACCCATCTATATTTGCTTGCATGATCCTCTTCACCAAAGAACAGGACTTAACTAGAAATAATCCTGGCATCTTCCTGAACCAACACCTTCAGCTGAGGGCCTGAGCTGATCTTTTCCCGTCAGAGTTTCTGCTTGGTTCTCTATCATTTCATCCAGACGATACTCATAATGCTGTAGGTTCCTTATCATGGCCAGCTTCCTACCCAGCTCTAGACATGCTTTGGGTATTCTGTGTGAAATTTTCTTGGGGATACATGAATACTGAATGGCTAATTCCCCAAGAAGGAACATCAGTGACAAAGACATGATTCTTTCCAAATCAAGTGGGTGAAACAATGAGTTTTATAAGTGATCCTTAAAGGGATATGAGCAAACACTTTCAAATATGTTTCTTTTTTTTTGAGACAGGGTCTCATTGTTTACCTCTGGGTGTTCTTGAACTCACTCTGTAGAAAAGATGGACCTTGTACTCATGAAACCTGAAGGAAAAATTCCCACAAGTTATATCCGGTTTAACACTGGAGTGTTAACATCTAGCCTTGATCTGCATTTTGTGTTTGTTACCCCTGTCTCCATAACTTGTGTTTGAAGTTTTAGCTGAGAGTTTTCCTAGGGGATCAAAACCTATGCAAACTAGTAACAAAATCTAATCCCCCTCCAAAAAACCTATGGTAAAAAGGAGAATTGCATTTGGCATTATCTCTCTTGGTGGCTTAGAACAAAGACATTTGTATATGGAATTGACTTGTTAAAGGTGTGATTTGTAAAACAATAAAAGGATCCTTTACTCACCAAGACTAGTTCAGTCCATAGAAGTGAATCCACCCTACTACTAGAAAATGATAAGAATTCATCCTTGATGTACCTCCATACAACTTTTCTCATATCTGCCTGGACCTATACCCACACTCAATATACAAGATATTGATGCCCAGTGTGGAGCTTAAAGTTTCCGTAATGCCTGTGCTACTGCCACCCATTCACCAAATCTGAGTTAGGGGCTGTGGATTAAAAAATAACAGACAAGAGACAGCGAGTCATTTGCCACAGCAGAATGCAGAATGCTGTTTATTGAAAGAGGAAGGAAACCTTAAATACAGGCTTACTGCACAATGAGGAGCACTGGAGGGCAGAAGTTCGCTGCCCAATGTTCTACATTCATGCATCTAAGCTGTTTACACCAAATGAAGGATACACAAACAAAGAACTTCTGGTGATCTTTCAGTAAGAAGGGAATCAGCATAGGGAGAACATCTGATCAAGGTCATAAGCAAGGCAGCAGCCATTCACAGTGGGGGGCTAGGGCCCAAAGGTCCCCCCTTTTAACTAAAAAATGAGCTTCTGACTTAGGTTGTGTGGGAGGTCAGCAGGTCACCTTACCTGTCATGGAGACACCTGCCTAAGCCACACAGGTGCTCTGGCTTAGGTTGATGACCGATGACCACCCCCCAGGCATTACCCTTCTCAGAATACTCATTATCATACAGACTCAACCATGTGAGCTGTAGAGTAACTGCTGCCAAAGATCTCAAAGTGGTGCTGAGCTTGCAATCTGGGCAACATAGAAAAGACCAACAGAAGTTTTAACCCACCCATAAGCCAGTAGGCTAAAGGCTAAAGGGCAATTGAGTCATTCCCTTACTTAGCGTTCCTTACTGCAAATTGGAGTCTCATAAGGTGGTATCCCATGGGCAAGTGGAACTTGAGTATTATAAATTTTATGACTTTCAAAGCCAATTCATATGTACAATTGTAGAATTAAATTTGTTATGCCCAATAGAATGAAAGATTAACTAACTGTGGTGGCTACTTTTGTGAGCGGGAGCACGAGCCCTAACCCTAACACTAACCCTAAATTTATTAGGCTTCATGCTACACTCTAATGCTAAAAATAAATAAATAAATAAATAAATAAATAAATAAATAAATAATATAAATAATATAAATAATATAAATAAATAATTAGATAATAAATAAATAAATGTGCTAGCTCTAGTAACCAATTATGAAATAGCAATCCCAGAAACAGTAGCAGCTGCGTGGCTACCACCACTATAACAGCAACAACGGCAACAGCGATGTCGATTCTCTTCTGGAGCATGTGAGCACCATCTGTGTCTAACTGCTATGGTCCACTGGCATGGACACAGCTCCAGGAACACGAACCACCAAGGCCCATTTTTCTTGATCCCAGCATGACTTAAGTGGCAGCTCTGCAAAAGAACAACTAAGAACCATAAAGAAAGAAAAAAAGACAGCAAACAAGGAGCAGAACTAATGGTCTCATAATGGCTACATTCAGGTTCACAAATTTTAAGGTATCTTCAAAAGAGGTTAGATGTATTTAAGGAGACCAATAAATGTTTCACAGAGCCACTCCTGAAAAGTAGGTACTACACGAGCTCGAAGAGGATTGCAAAATATGAAAGGCTTAGCTGGCATGCTATAGTTAAGAAATGAAGGTCAATGACTTTCAGAGTTATCCTTAATCTCCAAGGTGTCTGGGTGACACATTCTCAAATATACTTGAAAAAGCAGTTACCATACATTACCTTCTGAAGAATCCAACCGCATGGCTACAGTTCCTAGGCTTACATTAACACTTGCCAAGGCCATATTGGGCTCTCAATCCCCATTGGCATCGAAAGGGGAGAGTTTTTCATGAAGGCCCAATAGGTTTCTGCCATTTTGGGATTCAGCAGCAGCCACAGGGCACACACAGCACTCAAGAACCCAAAGAGGAACCTAATTGTCCAAAGAAAGACACAAACAGATACCTGGGGCCCACACCAACACTGCATCGGGTCCCCTCCAAGTGCCAGTAGAAAGATCCTCCATCGCTCCAGAGGGTGATTTGTAACAGGAGCCCTCCAGTGCTTATCTGCAGCAGATACTCCAGCAGAGTCCACTGATAAAAATTTTAAAATATATAAAACAAGGGAAAGAATAGAATGTGGAGAGGAGAGATGAGCCCCTAGCTCCCCCCTTTTTACTTTAGCAATATAAGTTTTTAAGGTACGATGGCAGCGTTCTACTATTGCCTGTCCTTGAGGATTATAAGGAATACCAGTGTTACTAATGATAGAAAAATCTTGGCAGAATTTTGAAAATCTCATACTGTTGTTGGCGGGACCATTATCAGTCTTTATGCATTTTGGCACTCCCATGTAAGCAAAAGCATGAAGACAATGATTCTTTACATCCTTAACCTTTTCCCCTGAATGGACGAAAGCAAAAATTAGAGAAGAATATGTATCAATACACATGGACATATTGTAATTTTCCAAAGGAAGGCACGTGTGTGACGTCCATCTACCACACATGATTAGGTAAAAGTCCTCAGGGATTAACTCCCAAATGAGGAACAGGTAAAAATTCAACACAAATAGGACATGATTTAACTATCTGGATGGCTTCTTCCCAGGTTATGCCTAGGTGATGACGAAGAGATCCAGCATTAAGATGATAACATTGATGCAACTGAGTAGCCTTTTCAAAGGCAGAACAAATTAATGTGACAGCCATACGAGTAATGGCATCAGCCCTCTGATTACCTTCGCTTAGAGGTCCAGGCAATTGGGTATGAGCTCTAATGTGGCCCACATAAAGGTTATGTGAGCGGGACCATATGAGTCCTTGCACTTGCAATAAATATTCATGAATGGGAGAAATAGATGGTATGTAGGCTGTTGTCTCCAAAGGCATAAAGGCATGTGCCACATATAGACTGTCAGTATAAATATTTACACTCTCATCAAAAAACATCTGTAAAGCAAGGAACAGTGCCTGTACCTCTGCCATCTGGGCAGAAGTGCCCTGGTCATTTATTCTCTTTACTATGTTACTAGAAACCACCACAGCAAAACCATGTGAAGTACCATCAGTAAATACCACATGGGCCTGAGGAATAGGAGTCATCTGTATTATCTTGGGAAATATAACAGAATGCAATTTAAAAAAATTGACATACATCATTGGAGGGGTAGTGAGTATCAAACTGACCCTGCATGGAGCATGTCAATATGGTCCAATCATTATCATTAGCTTGCAACCATGCTATTTGAGACTGGGTGTATGGGGTCACCACAATATCTGGCTCCTTTCCAAAGGTTCGAACACTGATCTTGATTCCCTTAAATATAATCTGAGCAACAGCCTGAGGATAAGGAGTAATGGTTTTCGCTGGAGAAGCTGGGGAATGTACCCATAGTATAGGACCTGTTTGTCAAAACACTCTAGTAGGTGAATGAGAAAAACCAAATATTTATGACCTAAATAATGATAGGGAAAAGATATCTGTACCTTTTCTGGGGCTATTTGTAAATTAGCCAGGCTAAGAACCTCTTGTAATTTAGAAAACACATAAAAAACAAGTATTTTATCTTTAGCAGCCAATAAAATATAAGTCAATCACAATTAAATTCCAGTGTTTAGGAATTACCACAGGGGCAGGCAAACCAGGCTGTGTTGCTCCCATGAGAAGCATGGTTTTATTTACAGCTCTAAGATCCTGCAATAGCCTCCATTTTCCCGACATCTTTTTAATAACAAATATAGGTGAGTTCCAAGGTGAAGTGGAAGAAATGGTATGTCCAGCATCTAGCTGTTCCTTAAGTAATGTGTTTGCAGCCTCCAATTTTTCTTTAGTAAGGCGCCCACTTTTCCACCCATACAGGGTCATCACTTTTCCAAGTGATTTTTATTGGTT